AGGACTAGCAAGATTCACCTTACTAATGGTGACCATTTGCCTACCGAGGTCACTCGAGAAGCAGCGAAGCACAAGCTGACGGTACACAGGGATGCTTTGATAGACCATGCATCCTCAACCACACCATCCCCAGTTTCTCTGGGCCTACCCTCTGAGTCTTCGTGGAGGGTTACTGAATTCTGGGTATGGAGCAGTCTTACACAGGGCCTGTATTAAGGAACTGTTACTGAGCTCATGACCCCTGCAGCCAGTGGCTTTAGACAGCCAGCTGTTCTTGACTCTGTGAAAAGTTGAAAAATTACCCTGCCTTGCAAAACAAAGCCCTCAGCTGGCAGGAAGCCTTGCCCTTTCAAGGAGCCACGGTTGCGGATGGGTCAGGCTGCTCGCTGAGCAGTCAGCATTCCCGGGGAGGAAGACGAAGCCATCTACTTCCATGAAGCTTTACAGACATGGAGACCCAACGGGGCAGTTCTACTCTGACCTAAGTCATGGGTAGTGGGTCGGTTTGGGGCTTTTTTTTTTTTCTCACTTTAAATTCAAACAGAGACTTCTGGCAGTATATTTCACTAATCGATAGCCACTCTCGCTCTCCTTTTATTTCATTTATTTTTTAAATGATGAGATCCCTCTACTTCAGCGGTTCTCAACTGGTGGGTTGTGATCCCTTTGGGGGTCGAACGATCCTTTCACAGGGGTCGCCTGATTCATAACAGTAGCAAAATGACAGTGATGAAGTAGCAACAAAAATAATTTTATGGTTGGGGGTCACCACCACATGAGGAACTGTATTAAAGGGTCGCCGCCTTAGAAGGCTGAGAACCACTGCTCTACTTCATGTAACCAAAAACCAAATACTGCCATCGAGTCCATGGGGACTCACAGCGACCCTACACAACAGAGTAAAAATGCTCCTGTGGGTTTCCGAGACTATAACTCTTCTTATTTTTCCAAAACCATTTTACGAGGAGCTAATACAGACATCATACCATTCCATAGTTGAATCACATCAAGCAATATTGTACAATTTCTACCACAATCAGTTTCAAAACATTTCTTCCTTCTTGAACTCCTGAAACCAGCTACCCTTTACATGCCCCTCAACACCACCACCACCCCCCGAACTCTTATTCTAATTATTGTCTCTATAGGCTCATCAATCCTGGGTTTCATATGCTGAACAACAGAAAAACATGTAACAAAGATTCAAGAAACCTACCCACGATAACAAAATACATCAGATAAACCCCAGTATGGAAAAAAAACAACCAAGATGTTAAACATATTGAAAACCAGATTGCGCCCAAAGTATATCAGAGGGGGAATCAACGGTTCAAGTCAGGTTGATCATTTTAATCCACTACAGTCATCTCTCAAAAACTCTCTGGTAACCAGTTCATGCCCACCTTCAATTATGGTTAGAGGAAAATCACTGGGGGCTTATTTCCTGCGTAGCTCCTGCAAGTGTATCTTGGGCTTTCACTACCAAGTCTTCATGGGAGTAAACAGTCTCATCTTTCTCCCATGGAGAGGCTGATGGTTTAGAACTGCTCAGCTTGGGTTAACCACTCAATGTGTGTAACTACTACACCACCACAACTCCCTCACTTCATGTAACTAATGAGAATTAATTGCACCCATTGACATAACTACATCTAATTGCATAAATATTCTATTCATATCAAACTTTCCATGTATTCATTTATTATTTATTTTCTTATAGCAGAACAGACTCACCCTTTTCTGTTTTATTCAGTAATTTGTACAATCTGTTGCCAGCCTCTGATTTGATGTTCACGTGGTCTCAGATGTAGTCAACGTCTATCTATCCTTCCATTACATCTTGATGGTCTATGAGGTGTGGGATATAAAAAGGCTGTTCCCCAGCTTCTCTCCACCAAAACATATGCCAGACCGAGGGCACTGCTTGCAACTATTGATTGTCATGCCATCTCCCTGAAGGCATCAGCCCTTCGGAGCAAGCAGACCCTACTGTCTGTCCCGTCATAGGTGAGGCCCACTCCCTGCTGTTAAGGACAGAGGATTGTTTTCCTGATGGAGAGCTCAAAATTGGTCAAATCAGCTGTATGGTAACCAAGGTTAGGCTAATCCTGAATCTAGGACCCGCTCATCTTGCCATATGTGTATCCCTAATCCCTCCTCTTCCTGTTGCATGTATACCCCGCGATCATCCCCCTCCCATTGCTGTATTGCCAATGATACAACCCCTTCATGTGATGTATGTGGCAATTAGGGGGCTTGCACACACACCCAAAATATATAAGCCTACGTTAGAAATAAATCTCTTCTAGTCCCGGTCCCCCTCCGGGGTCCCCTTCTTCCCTCTCCTTCCTTCCCTCTCCCTCCTTCCCGGCTCCCTCTCTCTCTCCTACCCTCTCCTCCTCCCACATCCCCACGTGGACCACCAAGAAGGGCTGAGGTGAGCATGGTACCAAGAAATGTGTCTGACTCTTTATTTTACTCTGTCCCCATCTCTCTTATTCTCTATGACTTGACTAGAGTCTTGATGTATTATCGCTGTACAATTGCACCTACCAGACCCATGATGATTTGTAGGGGCTGGCTCCCTCGCAATGAGGGGACTTCAAAACGTTCATGGTGAAAATGGAATTAAAAGCAATAGAATTTTTCCATAAACTTTCTGCCGTGCCATTATTTCTCCATCCATCTATCTTGGAGCACTTTGCTCTGAGCACCAGGACACTTCAAGCTCACCTTGTACTCCTTCATTTCTTTCGGTGGATAAGACCTAGAAACCAAAATGTGAGCACGGGGTGCCACCCACAGCGCCCTGGTGGCACTATGGGTTCAGTCCTGAGCTGCTGACAACAAGATTGGCAATGCACACCCACTACCTGCTTGCTCCCAGGGGTAAAGATGAGCTGTCTGCTCCCCCACAGAGATGTACAGTTAGAGAAGCCCTATATTGGGTCCTTATGGGTTAGAACCACTCGTTGGCAGGTGGGTTCTGTTTCTGGTGTTTTTGTTATTATATAGATGCCACTTCGCCAGGTTTATTATCTGGTGAATAGAAGAAAGCTAAGGTGGCATGGATAGTAAGCACTCAGCTGCTTCACAAAACGTTGGTAGTTTGAACTAATTCTGAGGCTCGTCTAGGCTCAGCAGGAGATAGACCTAGCAATCTGCTTCCTTAGAGAGGAGAGCCAAGAAAATGTATGGGGCAAGTTCTCCTCTGTCTCAAGGGCGCTTTATGAATTGAAATCGATTCAACTGCCTCCTAAAACAACACAGGAGACCTGCTCACCTGTCCGCTCACTGGACAGAATGAAGGACTATATTCTGAATATACAGACGCTGAAATCCAGGAATTCATACTGCTAGCTTTACGTCTAACCCAACAACCGAAGGCTCACTCTCATTTTCTTTCTTTTCATAACTGTCATTCCCTTCTCGACGGATCCCACACTCTTTGGCACATTGGCTGATGGGATCTGTCCCTTGTACGGAAGCGTTCTCCACCGTCATAGTCACACAGCCACCCCTCCTCCCAACTCAGACTGCCTCTCCCACAAATGGAAGCCATGCTCACTGTGTTCAGTGGGCCGCTCCTGTTGAGCACCTTGCTGAGTCGATACCATATACACTCGAGTACAAGCCGAGGCGCCTACTTCCACCACAAAGAAACGAGAGGGCTTTCTCAGCATAAAAAATGTTTATACTGGAGTATATACGGTATATTCCTTACTCCACACTGGGTCTGACTCCAGGCTGGCCCATGGTCCTCAGGGGTGTGTACTCCTGAGCACTCAAGCACCATCCCAAACCAGGGAGCCTTCCTATGCAGAGACCCTCCTGAGCAACCTGAGACTCCCACACACGGCGCTGGGCCACCTCCACACCCCACACCCCTTCGGGGCTCTCTTTCTCTCTCTCTGTGCTCAGCCACTCGGCTCTCTGACACCCCAGCCCCAAAACACATTTGCTTGATCACAACTAACAGCTTTAGGATCGAATTGTTCAGAGCAAAGGGAACCATATTACCCATGTAACAATCAGAACCGATTTACTAAATCAAATAAGCACACTGCCATTGCACCTACTCACTGGGGCACTAGAGAGTATGTCAACCAGACCCTCCTGATGAGGGGCGGAGTTCAATCTGCCAGTCAAGTGGTAGCTTGATGACCCCTCCTTCAGACCGGGCCTTTTGTAGAAAGAGTCAGATCAAACAGAGAGGGTTTCTCTCTGCCACTATGCCTATCTCCTCGCTGGGAATTCACTGGGACTGTGTCGGTCTCCAGGGGAGGCCCCACGTGGGTCCCCCCGACCCTGAGGGCTGTTGGCGCCCTGCCCTCCTTCCACCAATCTTGGATCCATGTGCCTCTGCCCTCATTGGCCTGTGAGCTCCCTGCTTCCCGCTTCCCCTTCTGTGTCCTCGGCCTGCAGCTGCGTGAATCTAAAGAGGGCCCAGCTAGCACTGCACCTGGGGACTTGAGTGAACTGGCTGGGGTGCCTTCCTGGTGTGCATTTGCTTCCTGATGTAAAGTTCTTTCTTGCACATAGATAAGTGTCTCTGCTTTGTTTCTCTAGACAACCCAGCCTAACACACTGATTTATTTTCAGCACTTCTTATCAGTCCATTAGAATAGATGAAAGAAGGGTTTCTTTATAACTCAGTGTGAAGTGGCAAAGGATAAAAGGGTCTTATACTATTGGGCATCACTACTGTATCCTATAGCTATAATAAAGTCTATATATACATATAAATATGTGATATGTCAGTATAATAAAGAGATGTGCACATATATCTTTAATACTAACTCTCAGGTATCCAAGTCAGCAGAACAAATCTACATCCGAAAATGAAGCTTAACTTTTGAAGATGCTTCTTGATAAGAGATATTAACTACATTAACGCTCCTTTTGTTTTTTGAGGCAATCGCGTATGAGCCAGTTTGAGAACGAGCCCAAGCAAGCGGTCACCCCGGCCCTGAGCACCCAAAGGCCCCGCCTGGTCTCACCCTTGAGAAGATATTCTCCAGGGAACTTGTTAAAGATCGTTTCGCCTTATTTTTCAGGATGTCGAGTTTGAACCTTCCACTGCTGCTCACGTTTTCTGGGATGGTACTGTTGGGAATCATCTACAGAGAGAAACACAGATACATTTTAGCAGGCAAATAGTTAAGGTTAAATGAGGCTTTACATCTAGGCTTAAGCAAGTCATTTTTAAAAAGAAAAACAAAAAATAAGAATTTGCCAGTGGCTTCATTAGCAAGCAATATCGTCAGTTCCGCACTGCGAACTTAAGATCATAAGGGCACTGTGATTATAAGGGAACAAGATTAATGTTTCATCCTGTAAATAGGAAGGAAAAAAACGAGAGAGAGCCAGATGGTCTTTCCTTCCTTTAAATAAATTCTGGTTGTGCGCAATAAAAAATAAACTAGAGATGGCAATTTCCACTGCTGTCATTCGAATTCATAACGGTAACCACCCATTCCTCGTTGCATATTTTATCTCCAAATTTCCAGGGATGTTTGGGGCTGGGGGAGTGGGGGGCGCCCTGCAGGGACTAAACTGTGAAAATCAAAGCGTCTTCCAGGGAAGCTGTTTCCTGGCCGTGCGGTCACTGTGCGTCCCCGAGCGAGTGGGTGGTGCTTTCTTTCAGACCGGCACATCCCGGGAGAGCAGCAACTGGATGCGAGTCTGCATGGCGGTGGTCTCCTCCGCGGGCCTTCGCCCAGCCTGCCCCGTCGTCCTGGTCCAACCAGGTGTCTCGTCAGGTCTCCACTCAGACCCTGAGCCCAGGGTTCTAGTTCAGGCCTCTCGGCTGCCGTGAAATAAAATCTTCCTGGAAGACTCATTCAAAGACTTACAGCCCTGAGTTCCCCCGTAAAAGGGCTCTGCATCGCCTCTCGGGTAGTGAGTTTGGTTTGGGTTTGGTCGCCCATGCCTGGCGCGTGTTCACATTATGGGACTGCTGTTAGGTGCGGTCCAGGTGATTTCGCGCCATGGTGACCCCACGGGCCACAGTAGAACTCCCCGCAGACGTCGCTCACTGCCGTCGAGTCGATTCCACTCAGTGATCCTGTGGGGCAGGGTAGCACTGCCTCCGTGGGTTCCAAAGACCACCACTCTTGACAGGAGTAGAAAGCTTCCTTTCTCCCTTGGAGCGGCTAGGGGTTTCCAACTGCTGACCTATGCCACCAGGACTCCCTGTTTTTTTCTAGAACAGCGTTCCCCAAGGTGGGCAACACTGTCCCCTAGCCCTGTGTTGGCACAATGCAGGGCAGAGTTGCACTTGAACCTAGATGATGGGATATATACAGTACGAACGTGTTCCACTGCCAGGGAGTGATTTTTTTCTTTCTGGAAAGGGGAGGGTAGGCCAAATACATCTGGGAA